GATAAAACACAGGCAACAAGTTCAGAGAACAAAGCATATAGGATCTTGGCTTTACAGGCGAATTCTACCAAACTTTAAAGAAGAATTAACACCTATACTTCTTAAACTATTTCAAAAAATAGAAGGGGAAGGAAAACTTCCAAATTCATTCTGAGGCCAGCATTACCCTGATACCAAAACCAGACAGACACCAAACCCGAAAAGAGAACTATAGGCTAAAATCCCTGATGAACATAGATGCAAAAATTCTCAACAAAATACTAGCAAACTTAATTCAACAATACATTAAAAAAATCATTCACCACGATCAAGTGGAATTTATTCCTGGGTTTCAAGAGTGGTTCAGTATTTGCAAATTTATCAATGTGATATATCACATCAATAACAGACAAGGATAAGAACTACATGATCATTTCAATAGATGACAAAAAACATTTGACAAAGTACAATATCCATTTATGATTAAAAAAAACCCTCCACAAAGTAGGGTTAGAGGGAATATACCTCAACATAATAGAGGCTATACATGAAAAAACAGCTATCATCCTTAATGGAGAAAAACTGAGAGCTTTTCCCCTAAGGTCAGGAAAAAGACAAGGATGTCCACTCTCACCACTTTTATTCAACACAGTACTGGAAGGCCTAGCCACAACAGTCACAGAAAAAGAAGATATAAAGGGCAATCAAATTGGTAAGGAAGAAGTAGAACTTAACACTATTTGCAGATGACATGATATTCTATATGCAGAAAACCCAAAAGGCTCCACCAAAAAACTGCTAGAACTGATAAATTCAGTAAAGTCGCAGGATACAAAATCAATGTGCAGAAATCTTGCATTTTTATACAACAATAATGAAGCAGCCAAAAAAGAAATTAAGAAAACAATCCCATTTATAACTGCACCCAAAATAATAAGATGCCTACAAATAAACCTAACCAAAGAAGCAGAAGACTTGTACTTTGAAAACTATAAAATACTGATGAAAGAAATTGAAGATGACACAAAGAAATGCAGATATTCCATGCTCATGGACTGGAAAAACAAGTATTATTAAAATGTGTCGGGGCGCCTGGGTGGCTCAGTGGGTTAAGCCGCTGCCTTCGGCTCAGGTCATGATCTCGGGGTCCTGGGATCGAGTCCCGCATCGGGCTCTCTGCTCAGCAGGGAGCCTGCTTCCCTCTCTCTCTCTCTCTCTCTCTCTCTCTGCCTGCCTCTCTGTCTACTGTGATCTCTCTCCGTCAAATAAATAAATAAATAATCTTTAAAAAAAAAAAATGTGTCTACTACCCAAAGCAGTCTACATATTTAATGCAATCCTTATCAGAATACAGCACTTTTCACAAACGAGAACAAAGAATCCTAAAATATTTATGGAACCACAAAGACCCCAAACAGACAAAGCAATCTACAAAAGGAAAAATAAAACTGGAGGCATCACAATTCTGTACTTCAAGCTATATTACAAAGACGTAGTAATCAAAACAGTATGGAACTGGCACAAAAACAGACACATAAATCAATGTTAACAGAATAGAAAACCCAGAAACAAACCCATAATTTTATGGTCAATTGATCTTTGACAAAACAGGAAAGAATATCCACTGGAAAAAAGAAGTTTCTTCAACAAATGGTGTTGGGAAAACTGGACAGCCACATCCAAAATAATGAAAATGGACTGCTTTCTTACACCATGCACAAAAATAAATTCAGAATGAATTAAAGACCTAAGGTGAAACCTGAAACCATAAAGACCTAGAAGAGAACACAGGCAGTAATATCTTTGACATCAGACTCTGACATAGGAACTTCTTTCTAGATATGTCTCCTGAGGCAAGGGAAACAAAAACAAAAATAAACTATTGGGACTACATCAGAATAAAAAGCTTCTGCACAGCAAAGGAAACAATCAACAAAACTAAAAGGTAACCTATTAAATAAGAGAAGTATTTTCAAATGACGTATCTGATAAAGGGTTAATATGCAAAATAAGTAAAGAACTTATAAAACTCAACACCCCCCCCAACAAATGATCCAATTAAAAGTGGGCAGAAGACATGAAGAGATATTTCTCCAAAAAGACATCCTGATGGCCAACAGACACATGAAAAGATGTTGTTCATCATCACTCATCAGGAAAATGCGTATCAAAACTACAATGAAGTACTACCTCACTCTTATCAGCATGGCTAAAATCAACAATACAAGTAACAGGTTGTGAAGAAAAGGAACCCTCATGCACTGTTCGTAGGAATGCTAACTGGTACAGTCACTGAAGAAAACAGTATGGAGGTTCCCAAAAAGTTAAAAATAGAACTACCTTATGATCCAGCAATCCCACTACTGGGTATTTACCCAAGAACACAGCAACACGGATTCAAAGGATACATGCACCCCTGTGTTTATAGCAGCTTTACTTACAATAGCTAAATTATGGAAGCAGCCCAAGTGTCCATCGACTAATGGATGGATAAAGAAGTGGTATATATACACACACACATATATATAACATTATATTATTCAGCCATGATAAAGAATGAAATCTTGCCATTTGCAACGACATGGCTGGTGCTAGAGAGTATAATGCCAAGTGAAATACGCCGAGTCACAGAAAGACAAATACCATATGATTTCACTTATATGCAGAATTTAAGAAAAAACACAAATGAGCTAAGGGAAAAAAAATGAGAGAGAGGGAGACAAATCAAAAAACAGTCTCTTAATAATAGAGAACAAACTGATGGTTACCAGAGGAGAGGTGCGTGGGAGGATGGGATTAACAGATAATGGGGAGTAAGGAGTGCACTAGTTGTAATGAGCACAGGGTGATGTATGAAGTGTTGAATTACTATATTGTATACCTGAGACTAATATAACACTGTATGTTAAGTAAAGAAATTAAAACTTAAAAAGCTATGGGATATCTAAGTTGGTCTCAAGGATTAGAATGAGGAATGAGTACTCTTGTCCACATCTGTTCATTCTAATATTTGACTCTGAATAATTATACTCCGAAAATTTAAAAAAGATTGTAAAAAATTTACATACTGGGATACTTGCTGTAGGATTACATGTAATAGTAAAAATAAAACAACCCAAAATGTCCATCAGTAGATGTTTGGCTACATAAATTGTGTTTTCTCAAGCAATGAAAATTATGCAACATTAAAATAAATTAAAAACATATATATAATACAGTGGTCCAAAAAGATATCTGAAAAATTCAAGTAATAAGAAAATATTTGTGGTTTTCAAAATACTGAGACTCCCGTATGTTTATGTATCTTTAAAAAAAAAAGATCTGCAAGTATATACGTCAAGTCATTTACATTTTTAGTTATTGGCGGGTTGACAGGTTTTTGCGGGGTGGGGGGAGGGTATTGAACTAACTGGAAACTTTCACTTTTAAATGCCTACATATAACTTAAAATTTATTATAAATATTTACTACTTTCAAATGAGAGAAAACAATACAGATGAACAAACAATACAAATGGCTGGTTTTAGGATAAAGTTAAATCTAAAAGCAGAGGGAAAAAATTAATCAGGTGCCATGCTGTGTGAGAGAGAATTCTTAAGAACAGCAGCTATGAAGCCCTGAACAATGGGAGAACCACATTCGACATGATTTATATGTGGCTTTTAAGTAACAACACTATGAGCAATCTCCATGATAAACATGGTCAAGAAATCATTACATTACACTTCAGGATTTTTTCTCAGACGTATCATTTTTAGTATTCGAAAAGGGGTTTCAAGGACATAAAAAAGCAAATGGGCATAATAAATTTTGCTTGATAAATATAATGAATATTTAGAACTCCTATAACTCTTGAAGGAAAGGGCCTGGTATAATATTCTCCTTTTTTAAACAGAAGGTTATTTTACTGCACACATTTTAGAGGAAAATGAGAAAGGCTGGTCATGGTAGGTAACTTTCTTTTTACATTAGAAAGTAATCTAGGACTTTTTCAAATATGATATTGATAGTTTTTATTTTAAAAAATTTATAAATTGTGACAGCCTGATACATTTTATTGTTTCCAGCTATTTAAAGGCATTTCCATTTTTAAAGACTTATAATGTTCACAAACTATTTTAATTTATTAAGTACATACTATATGTTGTAGTTTTCCCTCTCAATAGATTTCCTTTGTACAATATCCAGATATTTCAACAATCACCAGAGTTTACATCTGTGAAACAAAAATTGAGTAACAAATACTATCTTACAAACAAACTGACTCTAGATTCTCTGCAGACAAGAAGCTGAATTTAATGATACTTTGATATGACTAATTCAACATCAAAGTAACAAGAATGTTAAAAGAATCAAAAATTCTGGCTCCAGTATCCTGGGTCTTGGAAATAGGAGGCCACGAAGAGATAAAAGAAAGCAAAGTTTAGATAGAGATCCATATACTACACAAAGAGGCAGCTGAGAGAAACTTCACGATCTGGGGGACATGAGGAGTAAATAAGATCACCTTGGAGTATATATGGAACTTGTAAAGAAATCACTGAGGCCAAAGATGGTTTGAAAGGATGTCCATATATATCATGCAGCATTTCAGCACAGTTAAAATGCTCACTATTTTTTCAATAAACATATAGCCAAAAACCTATAAAATGCAAAGTAACGCTAGGGATAGTGCTCTGGCCACACTCTAAGTAGAATTAATCTACTTTCCTGCCAATATAACCTAGTATTTGTGCAACCAGACCCAGCTGTATGTCACAAAATTTGCCTTTAAAAATCTATTTTTGGGGGTACCTGGGTGGCTCAGTGGGTTAAAGCCTCTGCCTTCGGCTCAGGTCATGGTCCCGGGGTCCTGGGATCGAGCCCCGCGTCAGGCTCTCTGCTCAGCAGGGAGCCTGCTTCCCTTCCTCTCTCTCTGCCTCCCTCTCTGCCTGCTTGTGATCTCTGTCTGTCAAATAAATAAGTAAAATCTAAAAAAAAAAAATCTATTTTTTAACAATGCGAGTTATACCAGAACTTACAAGTCAAAACGAAGGTTCTCCCTTTCTTCAAAAAAGTAGTCCAGGATAAATTTTCGTACAAAATCAGGATTTAAGGTATTATCAATCACTTCAGTTCTTCCAAACTGTAGAGAAAGAGAGAGAGAGGTTAAAATCAAGCCTTGCATAGTTACTGATTACAGCATAGCACCTAGTATTAATAATATAGTTCCTTGAAAACATAAACAATAAATATCCTAATGACTAGAAAAGTAAAGCCGTGCAGGAAAGTTTTTTGAGACAAAAATTATTCACTCTTATTCACCCAGGGAAATTTGAAAATGAGCACTGAGTTCATTCAAATTATTAGAACAGCAGCTTCTGAAAATTCAGATAACAAACTATAACACTTTCTCCCCTCTTATCCCCACTTCAAAGCCAAATCCCATGCTAGTCAAAGGAAGTTATTTCTCCCTTCAATTTTAGTGCATCACAAATATTTTTCTTAACCTAGTGTAGAATTAGGCTAAGCAACATATATTCTTTTTTTTTTTTAAGATTTTATTTATTTATTTGACAGAGATCAGAAGTAGGCAGAGAGAGAGGAGGAAGCAGGCTCCCCGCTGAGCAGAGAGCCCTATGCGGGGCTCCATCCCAGGACTCTGAGATCATGACCTGAGCCGAAGGCAGAGGCTTTAACCCACTGAGCCACCCAGGCGCCCCAGCAACATGTATTCTTAACAACTAGAGGGGTCCTAGTATTCATAATCAGGAAGTCCTCCACATGAAACAGTTTATTAGCTGTGTTTTGGGGAGAAATTTCTTATACTCTATTACACACTTCAATAATTTGGGTTTCTTTTCTTTTGCTTTGCTTTGCTTTAATTCTTATGGTATCTAGACAGCCTAAAATGAGATCTTTAATACTTACTGGTTTTAAGCTAGTAAGTTGCACTTTTGCTTTAAAAAAGTAAATTTCTCCACCTTAGGGGAAGTGGAAAACAAAAACAAAACTTTCTAGTCGTTCAATGTAAAGGAAGGTCACCAGGCTCTGCTTCCAAAGTCGGACCAGAAATATAAATTTTACAACTCTCTCTCTCTCTCTTTTTTTTTTTTTTTAATTCAGCTTCTTCTCCTTCTTCTTCTCCTTCTACTCCCATGGGATTCTAATAAGGGAATTTTAACCTTTAGTTCTGAACAGATTTATGCATGCCATCTTATCAGAGAACAAACTTTTATTAAAGTTCACAGAAATACTATTTTTTAATAGGAATAAGAGAACTGTGCTAATCCACTAAAAAGTGAAGGTCATGCTTACATAAATTTTGATAATAAAACTATGGTAGAAAATACTGATGACAAAGGAATTACTATGGCTATTGCTAACTAATTACACACACACACACACACACACACACACACAAAACAGTTTATAGAGGCTTACGTATCTGACAATGTTTATATCATGAACCAGTATCATGCAGACAAACCACAACTGAGGTCATTCATTCAACATTTTCAAAATATTAAATACTTCCTGTGAATAATAATAATTATAGCCATTTATTGAGTACTTACTTGGTTTCAAGTACTTCTCACACATTACTTTAAATCTTTAGCATAACCATGAAAGGTAGGTGTTATTAGGCCCAATTTAAGGATGAGAAATCTTTAAAAATAAATCAATAAATAAAGATGAGAAAATTGAGGCAGAGGATTCACAACCTTTGGCTATAAAATCTTTCTAGGACTCTCCTTTATTTCTGAATAAAACACGTGAGGCCCTGAGAAGATCTAACAATGAGCCTATCCATGATTCCTAATTTTTAAAAAGTGGGAATGTGCTGGCTGTACCCCTTCACCCCAAAAGATCAGTGCAGAGGTCAAGAAGTTTAAGTCTGGACCCAAGACAGTCTGGGCCCCCCAGCCTTTCCACTACCTGGAAGCTCCCCAGGCCACAGCTGGGAGCACCAAACCAGCAAACACACAACACTCTCAAACAGAAATTCAGCCAGGATCCATATTCCCCAGCACCCAAATCCCTCTTGTAGATTTGAACCCAAACTCACACTCGGAGGAAAGAAGACAGAGTGAAATTTCCCAGTGTGGGCCCCACTGAGCTACAAGCCAACAATTTTCCAGGGCCCATGAGCCATGAACACATACACAAGCCTGTTTGCTGGGGACATCTGGCTTGTCAGCAATATGGGTAGCTGCATATACTCTGCTATCTTAAGTGCAGATTACACAGCCATTAAAATTCTAGCTCATCATCTCTAGATTACAAACACTTATTACAGTAGGCCTTCCCACACACAGCCCTGAAACTGCTTTCGATGATCTCGCCAGTAACCTTCACATCGCACAATCTGGCAGTCACTCCTCGGCTCTTCTCACACTAGACCGCTCAGCAGCATGGGACGTGGCTGTCTCCGCTTTCCTTCCTGAAGCAGTCTTTTCTTGCTTTTGACCCCACATTCCTGTTTCTCTTCCCCTCCTAGACTCTCAGCCATGCAATCTCTCATTGTCAGAACCCAGTTCTAGGCCCCCTTCATCTGCCTATCTTCACTCTTCTGTTATTTTATCTGTTCCTTTGGCTTTAAATCCCACCTATATGATGGTAACGTCCAAAAGCAAGCATCAGCCCACACTCACCTCTGAGTTTGCTCATGCGCACAACTGCCTTCTCAGCTTACACATGTGGTTGTCTAACACGTCCCGCAGAATTACTATCGAACTTTGAATACTGATTTTATACCACAACCAGTACCCCAACCCTGTCCTTACCAAGTCTACTCCTTGGCAGTAAATGACACCATCATCTTCTTGGTTCTTTTTGCCGTAAACAGGAGTCAAACTTCTGAACTCCTTCCTTTTAACCCACCAACTCCTCTTCATCACCACCTCGTAAACTGGCAATTCCAACCTCAAACACATCTCCCAGCCGTCTCCTTCTCTTGGGATCTCTTGTCCACAGCTTACGTCAAGATTTTCAGCTTTCTCATGGACCACCTCAGGGCCCCCCTATCTCACACCTTTGTGTACTCTTGCTCTCCCTCCAATTCTTCCCCCATATAACATCCAAAATAATCTTTTGAAAAAGTTTAAACACAGCCATGCAATTTCACCTCCCCAACAGTCTCTAATGGCTTCGCATAATACTTCAAACAAAACCTCTTTTCTTTTGTCTGCAGGACTGGCTCATTTCTACCTCTTGGTTTCATCATGGGCTAGTATCTCCTCTTTCTCTTCTCCCTGGCCAGCTGGTCTTCTTTTAGAGCCCTTTACTCACCAAATCCTTTTTATCCCATGGCCTTTGCACCTATGTGAGTAACTCCACTCTTTGATGGCTGACTTTTTCTCATCTTTTAAGCCTCTATTTAAATGTCAGTCTTCTGGCTCTAAATACGCATGCTAATGTTGGCTCCCTACCCCTAAAATTATTCTCCTTCATAGCACTTGTTTCTTTCCTTTATAAAACTTATATTTTGTAATTATACTTTTATTTATTTGTTTTATATTTCCTTTACTAGATAGTATGTTCCATGAAGGCACAAGACATACACAACTTTGATTTACACCGGTACAAAACTGAACAAATGATTAGCTAAAGGAGATCTATATTGTTCAAAGAGAAAAGAATCAAAGATCCTGTATAGTATAACACCAATTTTGATGAAAATATATATGTTTATATAGAGAGATAAAAATTGAGGAAGGTATGCCAGAATATAGAAATTATCTTCTAATTTTTTTTTCATTATGTATTTCTGGGCTTTCCTAATTTCTTGCAGTAAGTATTTTTTACTTTTAAAATCAGAAACAGTAAATAAATAAAATCTTTAAAAAAAAAAAAAAAAAAGGGCGCCTGGGTGGCTCAGTGGGTTAAGCCGCTGCCTTCGGCTCAGGTCATGATCTCAGGGTCCTGGGATCGAGTCCCGCATCGGGCTCTCTGCTCAGCAGGGAGCCTGCTTCCCTTCCTTTCTCTCTGCCTGCCTCTCTGCCTACTTGTGATCTCTGTGTGTCAAATAAATAAATAAAATCTTTTAAAAAATAAATAAATAAATAAAATAAAAAATAAAATCAGAAACAGGATCGCCTGGGTAGCTCAGCTGGTTGAACGTCTCACTCTTGGTTTTGGTTGGGGTCATGATCGCAGGATCATGGGATGAGGCTCTGTGCCCATTGCAGAGTCTGCTCGAGATTCTCTCTCCCTCTCGATCTCCCTCCTGCCTGTGCACTCTGTCTCTCTCTTTCTCTCTTAAATAAATAAAATCTTTAAAAAAATTAAAAATATAAAACTTTTAATTGGTGTTATTGTTTTTTTAAATTCTTTCTATTATGAGAAATGAAAACTGGCAGTAATAAGAAATCACAGATACATTATGACTAGTTTAGCTCATGGGAAATGCGTTAGTTCTTTCCCAGAGGCTGGATTATATTAGCTATCAACCACGTGATTAATCTTTTTGACTTGAAATGAAATTTGTCTCAGCTAATGCCTTATACTACCAAATCAGAAATTTCTAATTCCTTAGAAAATGTACAGTTGCATATTAATTCTACATAGATCAGAGGGAACTAAAATTTGAAGGAAAGACAATTATTAATAACCTTTATTGATGGTATACAACCAGAAACAGCTGCATTTGATAAAACTGCAACTTGTATCCTACCAAGTCTTCTTCTGAGTATCAACTATCCTGGATTGTCAGAAGTACCTACAAAGCTGATTACCATAATCTCTGGCACAATGAACATATTTAAATATGTGGACAGTCAAGCCCTTTTACATAATTATACAGTATTATGTTTCATCATCCCACAATGAGAAAAATGTGAGAAAAATGCTTTTTCTCAACAAGTGTGAAAATTTTCAGTCATTTGAAAGAAGTATATAAACTGTTAATTTTGTTGGAACATAAAACACTGTTTCTTATAAAACTTTAAGCAAAAAAAAGAAAAGAAAGAAAGAATTTGCAATCAAGTCTTTGAAAGTTTTCCTTTGTTTTATGCTTGAGCTAATCGGATAAATACCTACTTTTCCAATTTAGGAACAAATCCTGCAGAAAATGATAGAATGAAAATATTCCTGATTTCTAAATCAACTAATTGTTAGACTGCTTCAGAGGAGCATTCCTAGAAG